GAGGATAGCAAGAAGAAGGTTGGAAATCAGCAGGGAGTTTGAGAAAACCAAGGGACATTGAGGAAAATTAGAAATTCAGACTCAGTAGAAACTAGAAAGTACTCAAATCTGTAGAAGATTTTGAAACCAAAATGTGTGTATGCATACAGGTTTTCGGTCTCTCCAAAATGCAAGAGCTGGAAACTAAAAGGAGAACCACATAAATTTGGTTTTCTCTGTTTCAAATCAAGCCTGAGCCAGATTGACATTTCCAGTTCATGTGACTTGTTTCTTTTCATATTCACCAATTGTGTTTTCCAAGCTAGAATCATGTTAACCCCAGTAAAGCTTTCATTTCAGGCAAAGAAACTTCGAAAAAGACCAAATAAATCACAAGGTCATCTTTTATCAATGTTCATGTAAAAAGAGGAGAAAAGGTGAAAAAGATCAAAATAAATCCCGAAGTCATCTTTTATCAGTGTTCATATTTCTCAAAAAAGGAGAGAAGGAGAAAGAAATGGAAAAAGGATAAACATGGATTCATATAGAACTTGTTTGGAATTGAGGCATCATTGTTGTTATTGTTGGAGAAAAAAATGAAAAAGGGGCCTGATTTAGTCTCAGGCGAGTTGACAAAACAGATTAATAATATATGTAATAAATCAACAATTTAACATTAAAATCAAGATTATTTCTACAGAGGTAAGGGAAGAAAAGGGAAATGAAGAGAATAGCAACTGTAAGGGCTCCTTTCTCATTAGCCCATGAGTGAAACTAAAATCATTAGTAAGGTATACCTACTTAGAAGAGGGTTATTTCAGTTCTCTGCAGAACAGTGTGTTCGTGGAAAGTAAAAGGAACGGAGCCATGTATATAAATGTACATCCACTCGATATAACAAATGCTCCAGCGAGGATAATGACATATTGAAGCATAATGAATATACAAATAGCAGAAATCATAAAATTGGAGGCCATCTTACATATAAGAAATGCAAAGCAAATTTTCTTTCTCTAGATGCTCAGAATTTAAAGCATTGCACCATCTATAAATAATCTTATATATGACAGAAACTCTTGCTGCATATGTCATAGTCGTTTCTTATCTATTCTTGCTTTCCTTGATTTTCCCTTCCTCTTTCTTTAAAGCTAATGAAATCCTAAGAACAGAAAAAGAACCAAATAACATTTCGTTACCATCCAAATAGCACTATAGATGGATCCTTCAGTGCCGAATGGCGATAAAATCCAGTTATGGCAATACCAAATGATTACACCTTTATCTGGCAGATACCATTTGTTTGTCCCAGTGTTGTAAATAGCGCTCGCCTTAGCGCTAATAGCGTGAGGCGTAGCGATGCAAGCATCCAACACCTTTTTCTTCTGTTGCGTTGCGTTTTCAAAATAGCGCTCGCCTCTGCCTGTGTAGCGAGAGGCGACTGTAGCGTCGCTTTTTCAAAAAATAAAAGAAAAAGCGCAGGGATTAAAAGAAAAAGACCCGCGATTAGGGTTTTCAGGGATTTCTTTCTTCTTCAAGCTTCAAGCAGCCGAGCAGACTAGCAATTTCTTTCTCCAAGTCGACCCACCCACAGTGATTCTTCTTTCTTCTTCATCTCTTCTACCATTTTCTTCTTCATCCAAGTCGACTCAGCCAGGTACGCTTCTCTTCTTCTCCTTTGTTCTTCTTCTGCCATTTCTTTTTCTTTCTTCTTTCTTTAGTCTTCTTTCTTCGTTCTCCTTTCTTTCTTTCTTCCTCTCTTCTTTTTTATTTTTGCTCTGTTTTTGATCGAGCAGCACTCAACAGAGAGTAGCATTCAACTCTGTTTTTTATCGAGCAACACTATCTATTGAGTTTTTAATTTTTGAATTGATATATTTATTAATATATTGTTGCTATTGTCGCTTCAAATTTAATATTTTATTTTTTTGTATAAATTGTCGCTTCACATCAAAAAGGCGAGCGCTTCGCTTCTCGCCTCTCACCTCAGTGAAGCGGGCCCTCGTCGCTATTTGTCGCCACACGCTATCTTAAACACTAGTTTGTCCTGCCAATTATCTTAGAATGCAATCAAACAGCCATCACATACTGTATCATAAGGAACCACACCTCTGTGGAGCAAAAATGTGTCCTATGACACATCAAAAGAGACATCAAAAATAAGCTAATATATTCACTAGTTTCTAGATCTAGTTAATAGAAGAGCTATCTAATTGATGAGATTTAATAAACACTTCCAGATAGACAAGGTCACAAAACCAAAATATTTTAAGGGGCTCATTTCTTCAAGAACAGTACATTCCAAAAGCCATTATATAGCAAGTTAGTTTTCTAACGAATATACATATATTTGCATCAAAAGGCACATGATGTTTCTTACTTGATGAAAATAATTCGCCATGGTAAGTTAAACACAAATCCTGGAGACTTCAAGTAACTTCAAGTACCATCTTTAGGATTCTTAATATAAATCACAAAAATTAGAATTATATCAGTTAGGCTAACACTTGCAAATCTACAAGGATAGACATAAATCATTACAGCAAATTACCTGAATGAAATAACCAGTATCTGGCGTCCCGTCCAAGTTCAAAGTAGATGCTAAAACCATCATAAATTTCTCTTTCACACGCATAGGATATATCTCAGTGTTCACATCCAACAGCATGTACATATCAAACTGCTCACTTCGTGCTTCAATACGATTAACTACAAAATGCACAAGATATTCTTGATCACATCATTTGCAAAAATATGTGTTACTGCAGCTTAATAATTCGTGGTGGCAATAATAAACCAAATTTAGTCTATCATATGCCAAAATTCACAGTTTGTCAAGAAACTGCACCAACTCTATTTTATTACTCGATCGCATGTGCAATGAGCAATACACTTATAGGTACTCTAGTGTTCAATGCTCATTGCTCCCAATAGTAATTTGGTCTGTACAGTCTGATGAACCACCACACAACCACATGCCCTTTCCTATGCCCATTATCGCTCATGAGAAAGACACTAGAAGGTGTAATTATAAAACGAAAAATTGGATCATTTATAGTGGAGACTATCGAAAAGAAGGTCATATAAGACCATAAGACCATATCTTTGTCTCAAAGGTAGCTCTTACTGTAGGACGGATGATGTTATTTACCCAGGAAAAGAAAACCAAGAAAAAAGAAAGACTACGAAGTCCAGCAAACATGGATGTCTAATAGTCTGTTTGGTCAAGCTTCTAAATTCAGCTTATTTTGAGAAGTTTTTTTCTCAAAAGTGCTTTTCTCAAAGTACTTTTGGATGTTTGGTCAAGCATTTGTGTTTGGCTAATTAATTCAAAAATCACTTCTGAGTAGCAATTAGTGTTTGGCCAAACTTTAAAAAAGTGCTTCTAAGAGTATTTTTCTCAAAAGTGCTTTTGGCGAGAAGCTACTTTTTTCTGCTTCTCCAAAACAGCTTCTGCTTCTACTCAAAAATATTTTTTTTCTTCTAAATGCTTGTCCAAACACCTCAACTTTGAAAAAAAAAAAAAACACTTTAAAAAAAAATATTTTTGGCTTTGGAGAAACTTGGCCAAATAGGCTATAAGAAAGCCATTACAGACGCACAAAATTTATCAAAATTCATCATAGGCATTTCAGGTAAACTACATGAATACTTTTTTTGACATGTCCACGTGACAAGGATAACTTTAAAAACACCACCTTTGTTTCCTTTAACCTTATTCTTTCTCCTAATTGTCGTCAGAATCCTGGGGTGGGCCAAATTACATAACGAAAGCACACTTATTTCAAAGTGTTCATATGGCTCGCACTATAGACGCAATGATAAAGCAACAACACCTGCCTTTTTCTTCACAAGTTCCCCTGTTTCTCGATCGACAACTAAGGGTGCCAAACCATCTAAGCAAAGTTTCATTTGTCTAAGAAGAGAACGAAGACAAACTCAAGTTATCTGGGATAAGTGGTGTAAGGCCCTGTGAAATTTCGCAAAGGAAAAATAATATTTCGTGGTACCGAATTGGTTTTAAGATGTTTAAGGATTTTAGAAATTCTTCGCGGCGAGCATGCTCGCCGCGACTCGGACGTTTTGGGCTGAACAATGCATCGGAGAGTAAAGGAAAATTTTCGGCAAAAGAAGACGTTTCTACGGCCCACTATGCGGCCGCAGAATCACTCTGCGGACCGCATAATGATCGCAGAGTGAGACAGGCAAGGGCAGGTTGGAGACCAGGTTTGCAGCGCATTATGCGACCGCAGACCAATTCTGCGGTGCATTATGTGACCGCAGAACAGGTCTGCGGGCCGCATAATGGCCGCATACCAGGTCAATCGCGTCCAGTTTTGGAGGCCAAATTATGCGGCCGATATGCGGTCCGCATATCGATTATGCGATCGCAGACCTTGTTCCGGAGCTCCATTTTTGGGTTTTTAAAACCCGACCCTACTTCGTTAAATACACGCTTTGGGCCATTTTTGAGCTAAAATCTGACATTTTAGAGTGATAGAGAGTGCCCTAGAGTGAGAAGGTGTTCCTCAACAATTGATCTTCAATTCTTGCTCAAATTTTGAAAGATTAAGAAGGAAACTCACTAGGTCTTCATCCTAGAGGTAAGATTCTACACCCTTATCCTCAATTTCGAGAAATGGGTAATTAGCAAGATAATTTTTGGGCATGAGAGTTATTTATTTTACATGCATGTGTTATCAAAGGGCGTAGGAAGATTGTTGAGCTAAAAATGGTAAAGATTGGGTTGTGGGGTGATGGAATCCTCCATAAAAGGGCCTTGAAACCTTAATGCACACCTAGTGTTTGATAAAATGCTCAAATAAGCTAGAACCATGAGCATCTTCCTAATTTTGGTTCAATTTGTTATATTTCTACAGTAGATTGAAGTTGCTAAGAATTCCGGAACATTTTAGAGTTTAAGGAAGCTCGATTGAGGTATGTTGGCTAAACTCTTCACTAAGAATTGAATCTCACGATATTCATGTAAATTATGTAAGTCCCGAGTGGTTCATTATAAAATGGGCTATTCCGTAAGATTGGGTCAAGAGTTATATGTTCAATAAGTATCCTAAATACTTTATTCATGTTATGTTATCAATTGAGGATGTGTTCAAGTATGGGCTGTGCATTAATAATGTTTCGACTTCAAGTCGAGTTCAAACGAAGGCTATTATGCCAAATTTTATGAAATATCTCTATGTACCTTACACTCTTAATTGCTCACATGTGTATTACACACCTTGAATTGAATTGTTGTTGTTGGTAATGATAATGTTGATGTTTGAAAGTGAAAAGGTGAGCATAAAATACTAAATACGGCCAACGTGCCAAGAATGATTATATAATTATGGCCATTAGTGCAAATGAAATGTAAAGAGGTAAAAGAAGTATGAAATGCGATGATTGATATAAAAAGGTTGATGTCTCGAATAAAACAGCCTAGCCGATCGAGTCGTGATCGGACACCATGCTGCACATATGGTGGTGATTGTGCTGGAAATTGTAATTGAAATAGTGATTGTGGTCGATGTCCCTAATGGATAGCCTAGTCGATCGGGTCGTGATCGGGCTCCGTGTTAAAGACGGTGGTATTGATATTGAGAGTAATTGTGGTTGATGTCTCTAATGAGATAGCCTAGCCGATCGGGTCATGATCGGACTCTGCGCTGAGAGTACGGTGGTACCAGTATTGTGAATAATGGTATTATGGACAATGGTATATCGATACTAAAAATTTCCCAATGTGAGATATGGAAATTANCGAATAGTGGTATTTTGGACAATAATATATCGATACTAAAAATCTCCCAATGTGAGATATGATAATTAATTTGATATCCTAAATTGAGGTTTGATGTTGATTAAGGCTTCCATTGATATTATGATAATCTTGTTTGTATTATTTGTCATTCTATTGAGAGGGTGTTTAGTTATACATACTAGTGCTATTCGACAGTACTAACGTCTCTTTTGCCGGGGGCGCTGCATCTTTAAATGGATGCAGATGGTTCCACAGCAGGAGATATTTATCAGTGATAGCAGTACACCTTCTTCCCAGCTGACTTGGTGAGCCCCACTTCATCCCGGGGTCATGAATCTTTTGTACTTTGTGTATTCTGTTTGAGATATAGCCGGGGCCTTGTTGCCGGCATTATCATTATACTCTTTTTTATCTATAGAGGCTCCGTAGACATAGTGTGGGTTGTATATTGGTGTTGGGGAAGTCAAACTCGTTATGTTGTGTTTGAATTACTATTTTCACTTCAGATTATGAAAAATGTGTGTGAAATTGAGACTTTAAAATGAAGTAACTAATGGTAAGAAATTGGTATTGCAGACATGATCACTTTATTATTTGATTAACGAAAATATATGTTCTCTTTATTCATGAATGAGTTTGGGTAGAAGAAAATCTAATAGGCTTGCTCGGTTGGGTTCACTCGGTTGAGCGCCGGTCGCGCTCCTCGGTTTCGGGGCGTGACAAGAGGTCATATCCTAATCATCCCTGGTCTACTGTGAACAAACTATCTTAGTTAATTTCCTTGAACTTATTCTTCAAGTGGTGTAACATGACCATATTATCACTTCCCCTTGAGATAAAAATAAATATGGTCAGAACAAGTATATTATCATGGAATGCAAAGTTAGGACATCATCTAGGGTGATGCATCAATCATTCACATCTTTTTTATGACAGTGGTGTCAGGACTAGCTTGCGCATACCCCGACTATTTCACCGAGTACTTGCTACCTCCCACCAATACAAGTGCCGAATAACTCTGTCCACCAAGGCTTAATCAGATGAGAAGAAATCACCTAATATTTTTTGTCAACTTGAGACCTCATGGTTCTTTACTTATTTCACCACTAGGTCACACCCTTAGAGTGTCATTCACATCTACCGACAGCGTTTCTTCACATAGTGTAAAGTTCATTCAATTAACAATTGAAAAGAAAAAAATTGACAAGAACAACTAATACAGAGCATAAGCAAATTGATGAATTACAGCGGGGAAGAATGATAAATTGGCATACCTCTATCGAACTTTTTACCATCCGGATCTTTTTGAGTGACTGTAAATATATCTTCGAATAGTGTTTCAACCATCTTGAAGAACCTGCAAAACGTCGTCACAAATCTTTTTTTAATAACTGAGAAATCCAGGTCGATGGCGCACGGTTCAAAATACAGTGGAGGATTCTCCCACCCCTTTACCCTTCTCCAACAAAGCTAAAATATATAATCTAACCCCTTTGGATTAGCTTAATTGGGTTTAAAAGCACTTTTAAAGTGCTGAATTTAAAGAAAAAGCAGTGCGGAGACTTAAAATAAGCAAATAATATGTTTGGTGAAAAAGTGCCATTAAAATATCCTTAAAACTTTTAATACTAAAATAAATTACTTATCATATTTTAAATCTAAATTGATTTAAGTACTTTTGATTTATTTTAAAGTTATAAATTTATTAGATAAAATTATTTCAATTTATGAGGGATTTTTTTCCCTTATTCTTTCTGTATACTTGACAACTTCCTATTTCAACTTCTATCATTTGCACTTTCTGCAGATTGTCTCATTGCCTGAGGTTGCATAAGTATCACTAGTATTATCTTTGAGTATGTTATAAAAATTACTAGGCTAATTTCGGAGAATATGTGCAGACAGATGAATGAGGAAGTCACGTGACAAAATACCAAATTTGATCAACAAAAATATTTATTGCAATTATAAAGAGAAGAAAGGTTACCTGCTATGGCGGAGAATAAGCAGGAACGAGAGATTGAAGAAGGGAAAGAAATAACGTGGGGTTAGGGCATATGAGGGAAAGGTACTTTAGAATTTATAAAAATATGTGAGGGATAATAAGGTAAATGACTTTGATATACTTGTAGAGCTATAAGCTAATAAGAGCCTTTTCAGCTTATTTACGTGTTTAGTAAAATAATTTTTTATTAATATTTATATCTATATCTATCTATATTTATCTATCTATATTATTATAAAAACATGAATAAAATATTGAATTACAAAAATAACCTTTTTAATATTAAGTATAATAACTCACAATAAAAGGATATAATCGGAATTCAAGACATTAGCCTTGTAATCTTATTAGTTTTATGACATAATACTACATGTTAGGAATCCTACATGATTATCTTTAGGAATCCTATTAGTATAATTATTTTCGGGCATAGATATTAGCCTTGTAATCCTATTACTTTTAGGATACACTTCTTAAAAAATTCATATTACTAATTTAATTTGAAAACGTGTTATATTGTCCAAATCCATTTAGAAACAGGAGAGCCTATATTATTATAAAAGCACGAATATAATATTGATAGACCAAAATACCCCTAAAATATTAAACAGAAGAACAATAACCTTTTAATATTAAGCATAATAACTCACAAGAAAAGGACATAATCGGAATTCTAGACATTAGCCTTGTAATCCTATTAGTTTTAGGACATAATATTACACGTTAGGAATCCTACATGATTACCTTTAGGAATCCTATTAGTATAATTATTTTTCGGCATAGATATTAGCCTTGTAATCCTATTACTTTTAGGATATACTTCTTAAAAAAATTATATTACTAATTTAATTTGAAAACGTGTTATATTGTCCAAATCCATTTAGAAATATGAGAGCTTATATTATTATAAAAGCACGAATATAATATTGATAGACCAAAATACCCCTAAAATATTAAACAGAAGAACTCATAGGGAAAGGACACAGCTGTAATAACTTATTTTTTTGGACTACAATAACTTCTAACTTTAAGAATAGCATCTATATACAGTAATACAGTAGTACTGCATCTCCCTAACGTTCACCTCTCCATCTCCCTAACGTTCACCTGCTACGTACCTGCACCCATCTCCATCGGCGCTCCATTGCTGGCGAGTCACAGGTAAGCCCCCCCTCCCCCAAGGCCCTCCCCTCCTCTCTCGTCCCTTCTCTCTTTCTTTTCCCTCTTTCTCTCTCTTGCTCTTCTTTCTCTCTCCTTATTTTTCTTTGTCCTTTCCTTCTGGTGTGACCGGCGCCGGCAGATTTTCCGGCGAATACCAACGACGTCAATTCCCCCTTCGATTTCTTTTCCCCTCTTCTATCTTCCTCTCTTTCCCCCCTCATCTCTCTTCTCTTTCCCCCACGCCTTCCCCCCTCTCTATCTTTCTCCCCTATCTCTATTTCCCCTTCTTTCTTCCCCTCTCTTTCTTCCCTGTTACCCCCTATTTTGCCTCCCCGTTTAACTTTGTTGCCCACTGTAAAGTGGTAGTAGAGGCAGCGGAACCATCATTTTTTTTAGTCTCCTCCTTTTCTTTATGCAGGTTAATCAGAATAGTGCTTAGGGTTCGCTGCGGCGGAGATTTCAGCAGTTTCACCTAGCGGTAGTGGCGGTACGTGGTGGTAACTGACATCGTCTGGTTCTTCAGTAACACCTCGGCTCCCCTATTATATCCAGGTAGCATTTTTGTGGCCGTTTGGTGGCGGGAGGGAAGCGCACGCGCAAAAGCAACAGAGCATTTCGGCTGACAAGAACAAGGGCAGTGCGGCGGGTTTCTTAGCATCCGGATTACACCAAGTCGAAAGTCCAGGTTATATTCGCGGGAATTAGTACCTCCCGTCTCATGTTTCTCTTTCTCCTGTGGTAGTTTATTTTGTTATCGTAGTAGTTCGTAACTAATCTAGTCATTCTAGTAGTGGGCCTGTAGTTACTATTTGTTTCCTTCGAGCTTGGACCTTTGCTTGATCTGTGTTGGCTTTCTTTCCTTCTAGACTTCCGTAGGTATAGCGGCTGTGGTTTGTAATGACAGTGTAAGGTTATGTCCTCGGGGAAGGAGGGTGGTGGGGCGGGGGGTAAGGCAAGGGGCAGGGG